AATAATTTTAAAAAGATCTTTCGATTTTCGGAAAATGTCAAATTGTATTGCTGTCTATGCTCTCTTCAGATAAATGTCAAAATTGTATCTACTCGCTTAAACAATAAACAGTGTTTCTCGAGCACACTTTTCCATAATATGGTAAGATACTTCTTCTAAATCCAACTTAACGAAAGATTCTTCTCAGATAATTTGCTAATATAGAATTTCAGTAAGGATGCAATTACTTTGTATTCTCACTAACGAGAAGCTCTATCCAGGTGTGAAACTCCGATTCCGTTCATTCATATGTCATTCGATTGAGTATAATGAGATAGTCAAAAACTAAAAATATTATTGATCACCAACTCTTCTTCGAGACATAGTAGTCATTTTACCGAAGTTCTAGCTTATGGTATTGATGATGTTTCGACCGAAAATCTTATCTACAAGTAGGCCAACCTATAACTAGAATATCCTGAAAAATTCAGGTCAAAATAATGTTTCCTATCTTGAAATAGCGAACTGTCAATATTACTCATATTCTACGAAAAGATTGGAGCATGTCATGTTTTTTTTTGAAAATTCAATATTTCATGAAGGAAACATTCTTCTGACTTGAATTTTTCAGGATATTCTAGTTACAAGTGGGCCTACCTATGGACAAGATTTCAAGTCGAAACATCGTCATTAAAGTTGGTGGTAGGTACCATACCATAGGCTAAAACTTCAGTAAAATGACTATTATGTCTCGAAGAAGAGTTGATGGTCGATAATATTTTTAGTTTTTGACTGCCTCACTATACTCTATCAAATGAGATATGAATGAACTGAATCGGAGTTTTACACCTGGATAGGGTTCCTTGTAAGATCTTTTTGTCGACTTACGTATTATAGTGAATTACTTGACATATTAATTATTACATTTAATTAGAAAATGAACATGATTATTTTCAAATAATGAAACCATATTTAAATGTCAAAAATCTCTAAAAGATTGATTTTTACCAATAGTAGTATTTATATTTTATTCAGAGTTTAACTATTAAACCATAGTAATGCACATATGAAGAAACCATCATAACTTACGTTCTTTTTTTTACTTGGATATGATAAAAATGTGTGTTACGAAGGTTAATAATATAAAAGTGACTTTACGCGATAAGAATCCCCTATCAACATACTACCTTTATGCAAGGATATCATACTCAGGTGATGATTTAAGGCTGCCATTATCGGATGTAACATTTTCAGAAAAGTTCAAGGTATTAGTAACCATTGATATCAAAAAGAAGATTTTATGTTTCTCTATAAAATAAAAACAAAAAATCTAAAATTAAAAAGACAAAAATGATAAATTCAGAAAAAAAATGGTAAAGTTGAAAATGCACAAACGCATTCATATTAAAAGGAAGTTTATGCAATACTATTTTGAATATTAATAAGACTTTTAAAAAATCATCCCGTCAATGAAATGACAACTTTGTTATAATAATAAATTAGACCTTTGTGTTCTTTTGATGTATTATAGAATATTTAAAATGATACTTTTTCATTTTAATATAATCATAAAGTACGCAATAACATTTATAGTTGACTCAAATGGAAGGTACAATAAATATTTTTCTCGTATACTAAAAATTATTGATTCATCTTCATATCAACGTTAAGATTTAATTTGAAGATATTATCTTCGAGAGCCATCTATTTTGATATCATAGCGATTTTTCAAAAGTCTTTCTTCTTCAAAATGTTGCGGGACTTGTTAAACGGGTTTTTTTGGGTTTTAGAAGGCTGTTTCTCACTGTATGTGTTACTTTTTATAGCTGATATTAATGGTGTCAAATTATTTGTGTTTGACATTTTCTCTTCTTATTATTCACAAGATGAATATTTACTTAGAAAAGATTTCAATCAATCATTTTCTCATTGAATTCTGAGCATGATGATTAAATATTACAGTAATAAAAATGGTTTATTAAAAATATATTTTGATTTAATTATTGCTTATCAATAGATTCTCACATTTTTTTTCTAATTTGTGTAGTTCAGCTATCAACCGAAACTATTATCGAATACAATCTACTGAGATGTACGCTTTTCTACTAGATATGTTTCCAAAGGGCGAACTATCGAATGAGAACATAAACAATCGAAACCAATAATCAACAGCAAAAATTCGTCAATATAACTTTCTTTTGGTGTCTTCTATTGTATAATAAGAGCACAACTATGAATTACGTTTCTGATCATCGAGTTCTTGCAAATAGCTCTTCGGTATGTTATTCTATTCAGAAAAGAGAAAAAAAGAGACGGGAAGAAAAAAATCTTTGTCATAGAGGAGAACGGAAAATAATACACATATCAGTCAACCATATTATACTTTGTATTGCATTATGCATCACAACAGAGACGACAGCATAAAACGTTACATAAATCGCTAGCTTCATATATACTCTACACATCTCAAAATACAACATATCCATCGTTTCTTTAAGATACTTTTTAACTCAACGATGACGATAATACGATATTTTTTTATTTCACTTATTTTAATATTGATTAACGTACTCACATTATCCAGCAATAAATTACCATCGAGTTCATTACAACATAAATTATTTAATCAAGAAAAAATTGTATTAAGAAGTAAAATAAAGAATGATATTTCTCGAATCAAACAAACACTGGAATCAATTTATTCTTTATTTAACTCACGAGATACTTATCGTAAACATAATAATATGCTTAGAACTTTATGGACTTGCTGTCGTCTCTGTTGTGATGCATAATGCAATACTAAGTATAATATGGTTGACTGATATGTGTATTAAGAAATAAAACAAAGAATGGT